AGGAAGGCACAGTGAAATCATACTGTGTTTTCTGTAGACAGGAGAAGAGGTTACCCTAATGTAACACACAGAAGTGAATTCTGAAGGTAACACTTCCCTGAGGCCAGCAGGAAATAGACAGGACACGAATCCTTATCTCCTTATGTTACCAAGATAAAAGATTAATATCCTGATGGCGTTCCTTTTATCTCAGCAGATGTGGCTGAGAAAGGTCGTCAGAGATGCTCATTCTTATCCTTAACTAGAGAAATCTGAGGAAGCTGAAGCAACGAGAAGAGTATTTCCCACTATAGAATATGACAGGTGAATTGCAAGCTGAAAGAAAAAACAGCATTGAAGTCAGGATTTATGGGCTACCATTTCCCTTACTCGGGTCGTCAGAGTCATTCAGGACAGATACATTACTGGCAGCAATCGCACACAAGCTTTTGGTAACTCTTAATTTCTTTGCTGTTTTGTCATTTACCTTTAAGTAGCACAGAGGAGCAGCGGTCAGAGTCTTTGTATGTGAAAACACAGCTGTTAATGAAAAATGACAACAGCATGGTCTGCTACAGATGGTTCCAGTTGCTGCTGGGCCCTTGGAACGCCAGACTGCGGCCTATCACTGGCAAACCAGTAACTGCTCTTTCACTGCTTCAGAGCAGCTGTGCCAAAAACACAGGAAGGCTCTCAAAGAGGACACTTTTCTCCACCATGGGATGCTGCATCTTAACGGATTAAGCATTGTCCCGGACTTTCAATTTGCACAAAGCCTCAGCTCACCGTCCGAACGCAACTCTTCAAATTAGTATATCCAAAAGGAAACCATGAGGAATACAAACTCCTCCCCATGACACTAGGAAACACCCCTTCCCTCAGGTCACAGTCTTTCTTCTTTTTGCTAAAACCTTTTCAGTTTTCCTTTAAAACTTTCTGTTCTTAAGCTTTATTGTCATTTCTTACGTCTTCTCCTTGACAAGAGTCATAAAAGCGGTCTTTTGGAGGTCTCCCTGCACAGAAGGAAAGCAGGCCTTTCTCAGGCAGAAACCCAACGTAGCCGCAGTTGCTGGCCTACAGTTCACAAAAGCCATCTGGTTTTGCCAGAGTCGCATCACAGCCAGCAAATAAGTTCCACCTAAAATCCACAAAATCACCCTGTGCAACTTCACTCTTGTTTACAGTTACCAACTTGAACATCGGATCACAACCACTCTTCCTCCTTTCAGATGGATGAATCTTCCAGAATTGAAATGAACATCTCTGAAAAGCAAACTTTTCACTTTAAAGCTCACACCATCAATCCACACATTGTAGGTGACTGATTAAGCACTCCTAACCTCATGAAGAGGACAGATTTTTGAACAGTTGCAGAAAGAAACTAGTAGCAGGCTACTAGAAAATAACAATCCCACCGTACATCTTTAATCTATACACAGCACAGCTGAATTTGACCGCCATGTTTACAGAAACCCAAATGAATCTTTCGGTAACAGAGAAACAAGGTCTACTTTAAGGGGCACGAATTATATACTTACAGGTCCCATAATTGTTGCTTGCCAATGAAATACTGGAAGTAAAAAAAAAAAACATAAAACAGTCAGAGATTTTTCCAAGTGTTTTCTTAATTGAAAAAGGTTAAGAAATGTAACAATGTACTATGAAGAGCTTACAGTCGTCACCAACAGGTCCAGCGGAACAGTGGGGTGGTGGGTCTCGCTGCAGATCATTTAGTTCCTGTAAGAAACACAAGTGAAAGACACAAACATGAAAATACACACCATCCAGCAGCATCACTTCAAAAGCGAGACCACAAGCAGGTCTATTTTTAAATAGACCTGTAGTATTTTTAAAGAAAGCAACACGCCAAATACCTGTTGATACTGAAAAGGGGTTTTTTGCCAGACAGGTCTGAAGCTAAAGACAATGTGCCATAACTTAATATCTGGAAGTATGTAAGTTATAGTCAAGTTCATAAGCGTGAAACACACTCTTCCATAAGCAGTCTACCCATAATTTCATATTTATCAAACACAAAGTCTTTAAATGCCACACTAAAGAATATTGTGGGTTTTCAAGACGTACGGAAGTCTCTCAAGTAGACAGAAAAGTTACACAGGAATACAGTTAAGATAAAAATCCTATGCTAGCAGGACCTCAACTGGAAGGCCAGAAACTACCACTCCATCTCAAAGATATCAAAAGATTAAGAGACATTCCACTCTTCCTTTGTGTGTTCACCTTTACAGAATGAAGCTGAACAAGAGGAAGAAGGAGAAGGCGGCGAGAAGAATCCTTTTGTTATAAACATAAGAGTAAGAACAGGTCCAAGAAAAGGTGAGAAATTAAATATGCAACAGTAGCTAAAGCATTCTCATAACAGGTAGAAGCATGATAGAGTTACTGCTAGAGAAAAAAAACACGCTGTATTTATTAGTCTTTGATATAATGCTCAAATACAACGTTCACAACAAAGATGTGATACGAAGTAATAAAAATCTCCCTTAATTGCACTACGTGTAAAGGCATAACAAGATTTCAAGCATGAGACGTGACTGCTGAGGTCTGGTAGAAATCCACCCAAAAAACTTTGTATTTATTGTAAGGTATCCCAAATCTGCTCACTGCAGGGTTAACAGGTCATTGCAGAATTCTATTTCTGTAATACCTTGCTCCAACAACAACAACAGGGAATGCAGAACAAATGACAGCACAGAACCAGGACAGCTCAAACGCCAACGAAACGTGGCACGTCAACAGCAACAAAATACCTTGTACACTACAACGCAGCCAAAGCGCTAACATGAACCTAACTTCTATGTTTACCATCCATAACACTTTTTTTTTCGCTTGCACTGCACAATGTCCAGTTAGGCCTTGCCAAACAAAAGGAATCTATATATTTACACCGCGATTAAAATCCACCCATTCACACATATCCCAAAACTCTACAACCGGGACACATTCAAAGGTCATATGAAGTACTGAGGCTGACGGCACTTCCTAACGTGGAAGGAAAAAACAAACCCAACAACTTAGGCACAGAGCTAACCAAGGAGTGTTTTGGCAACAGATATTTCACTGAACACCTCTACCAAAGATAACTCGTTAACACAGCGTCGCCTTTCACCCACTGCTTCACGCCCCCCACGGCCACACCCTCGGGAAAATACCTCAGATGGTTTATTAACGACACTTTCACACAGACCCGGCGGGATGCTGAGGGAGGGAGGTTTCAGGAAGGCGAAGAGTGCCGGC